AGTTTTGTATAGTTTTAGTATAAATTACTTCTGTCACCTACTGTGGTGGTGTCCCCTTCTTGGCCAGCCCCCAGTCATCCTGTTTGAATGGACTGTTAGCAAGAACTTTTGCATGTTTTGGTGACTGTCAGGGATGTTGAGCCACTGTCATCAGAGTGTCTGGGAAAGCATACAGCTGGACAGACTTCTCTTCACACTTCTGCACACAGACTTTTCTGCCAGTCTTCCAGAGTCTTTCTCAGGGCTTCACCAAGCTAGACCTGTTTCCACATTAAGTGATAAATGTGAGAATTTTCAGTGGCCACTTTCAAGAAGACCTGGGTAACTGCCAAGCATTGGAACTTCTGGGAATTTTGATTTTTAACTTTGCTGGCCCTGTTTCCTGAAGCAGTAGTGTCTCAAGTCTGCAGATAATACTTTTTCATCTTCCATATAGATATGTGCATCAAATTCCAAGACTTCACCATTTGCCAGCGCCAAACATCACTTCTTCTCACAACTGGGAAGAGAAAGACTACAGTCTCTTATATGGAAGAGATGTCCTACTCCATGAAAATGTCCACATGAGCAGAATTATCCCTGCAGAATAATTTGTCATTACTTGACAATAACATATTCTAGATACAGGCCCAGAGACTCGCTGGGGCAGGTTAAAAGCCTAGATCTGAGTCCCATTCCTGGTCTGAGATTTGTATCCTGCTCTCACTTTGGTTTTTTGACTAAGAATGGTTAGTGAATGCTCAATACTGCTGAGATTTGAGAAAGTAATTTATTTTTCATAGACAGGAGGGTAGATCATCAAAAGTGGTATGGACAAGCTGGAGCAAAATGATTCCTAAATAACATCAGTGGGGGTTGCAGCAGAATCATCAGGTAGAGGTACCATATCTGAGGGTGTCTTGTATGTGGGTGGGTGGGTGTACCTCTCAGTGGAGGCAGCAAAGCCTTCAAGCTTGCTGTGGGCAGCAGTCTGATACAGTAATGCACATAACTCTTCAGAACAGTGGTATTTCCTTAGGGTTGACCTGTGACCTTTCTGCGGATAATGTGAAATGCATTGATGTAGAAGCCCATTTCGTGATGTTGTTCTGAACACCACTCAAAGAAGGATCCTTAAGTCCTAAGATACAAGCACCAAGATACATCTACTGATGACAATAAGTCTAAGAAGTCTAAGTGGCTTATATTCAGCAAAATTTAATTTCTCATTAGCAATCTCATTAATATTTCACTTTTTTGAGTGTGAATTTTTTTTTGCACGGCCACTGGTGTGATGTTCTGCATTATTTTGCCAAACACCTTCAAATTTTATAGTCAATATTCTCTCAGTGTGTAGCCTACACTGTTTCTGAAGATGGTCTAAAGTCATACCAACTAACTCTGTTTGCCTTAGGTCACTGCATTTAGCTTCCAGAGCCCAGCCCAAGTTCCTTTTGAGTCAGCAGGGTTTTTGTGTTGGCTTTTGTAGTACTTGGATCAGATCTATAGTGTGTAATTCCTCCTTCTTCTTCCTCTCACCTTCTGAAATATTCTGTAAGAAAGTTATGATCTGAAGGGTGTCACCATTGAGTCAGTAACAGAAATGAAGGTGACACACTCCATGCATTTTCAGAAGGCATAAAAGCTACTTTATTACAAAACTTCACATTTTTATAAGCAACATCGTTCACCCAGAACCTGATTGGTTCTTAATAACACCTGTCACCCCAGTGGTTAATTAGGAACAACACCTCTTTGTAAATATCTTTCCATAACATCATGTATAACATGTTCCACAAGTTCACAAACACCAGCTGCAGAGACTTAAGATAAGAATTGTTTTCATTCTTTCTCTGAGCTTTCTCACAACTTCCCCAGGACAATGCCTGTAAAAGTTATCTGTTTCTTTTTCTGACTAAACTGTCAGCATCCACAGAAGTGTAACTATATTGGGCCAGATTGGGCCAGATTTTTAGTTCCTATAAAACAGAATAGGAATTTTTCAAGTCAGTTAAACGCTGCTTATTTAGATGAACTTATTGTCTTTACATACACCTAATATCTCTTTAATAAGGCATCAAACTCACCAAACTTAGGGTATGTGAAAACCATAACTGCCTAGACTATATTTTATACTGAAGCCAAAGTCCCGTGCAATGACAGCTCAGTGTCACCTAACTTCTGTTAACTCTTTCCCTTGTTATCTCTGGATACAGCCTTGGTGCCTACCAAAACAGATCTATCATTTCTTCCTCTGTAATGCTATTTTCTGGTCCTCTGGTTTCTTATATCTGTTTGGTTCGCTGTAGATTCAGTGACAGATTCAAGAGAGAAGAGCTTTAGTGACAGCCCTATTTCAGACACAACTGAAATAATGGAATTTATGGCAATCATAAACATATGTTGGATTTTATTTTCAGAAAGGATTTTCTTAGTTTTAGTTGGCTGGAGAGCAGTGTGAAAATACATGTACGCCATGAATGTATTTAAATTGTTACTAATAAACTTTATTATTGCAGAATCCAACTTTTTTCTTCTCAGAGATCTCATGCAATTGAAAAGGTGAATTGGATGGAATATGAAATCTCAAAAGTTTCATCTCCAGCTGAAGTAATTTGGGGAGAAAACTGCTTTTTCAGTTAGAAAGTAGAGCAAGTTGTTGGTGTTTTTTCCCATGCTAAGAAGTCTTTCATACTTCTGTGGAGCTAGAACAATTCTAAAACTAGCAGAATTATTTTGGATTCATGCTGATGTTACTAACATCAAAATATGACTGTAGGAGTAAAATGGTGCATTTGTGACACAGCACATGTCTCTTTAGGATGTCGGAAAACTCTGCCTGTAGAAATCAAGCACTCAATGATTTTTATAATAGTAATAACACAAAAGATAAAGATCAAAGAGGGGAAAGACAAAAGATGTGCATTTAACCTAAGCATCAGGAAATAGTGTGTTTAGAGTGTGTTTGCACAGTAGTCAGCAAGGGAAATTGAACCAAATACACTTCTTGCTAACCTTGCATCTTAATCAAAAGCCCAGCTCCCACCTCTTCTTGGAACGTGAATGCCCCTATGATAACATAGGGAAGCTGAAATTCAGGCACAATCAACCCCTCCCCACCCCATGTTGTATTGCACCAGTTTGGCTTGTTTTAATGTTAAAAGTTTTTGGGGCACTTCTCAAAAGCTTTGTAAGGCATTCAAAGAGAAGAAAGTTGCTAAATAAAATTCCCTAGACTCTCTTAAGGATCTGTCTCCATTTGAACTTCAATTTTCAAACTTGATGCAAAACCCATTTGCTTCTTTCATGATACATTGTCCAGACTAAAGGCATGATTCAGATCTCACATCCTTGTCAGCTCAAATCAAAGTCTTGAAACTAAAATACAAACCTTGAGAGAAAAAGTCTGATTCTGTTCTGACTCCCATGAATCTAGAGCAAAACCTCATTCGTGTACAGGAATTGTAAAACGAAAACTCACACAATCCAGAGCAACAGCGCAGACTCAACAGCTGGGAGATACTCATTGGACTGAGGGTGCTTGAGCACCTCTTCGCGATGGATCAGAAGCAACTTTATTTTTCAGTATCCATAATTGATTGCACATTGTGTTTTACATAAAAACATTTTGGTTTTTATGTAAACACTTCCTTGTGCAGCAGTGTTTTAAATGAAAACTGTCAAATGAGAATCCGTCTGCAGCTGATTATTCTAATGAAGAGTTCTATTCCTTACGAATCTAACCTGATTTTCAAACTTCAGTAAGTTGTACAGCTGGCCATGCTTTCTTCACTCCAGGTGAATCTGTCTCCTTATGTCACAGAATTCAAATAGGTTGAGGTGAGGGGTTTTTTTTTTTTGTTTTTTTTTTTTTTTTTTTAAGTTAATTTTTTGCCTTCTATTATGTGTGATTTTGTTTGATTGAGGATGTTTGCTGTTTTGTTGGCTATGCTGTGTTACAAAAGGTTTACATGCCATCTAAGTCTCAACTGCAAATACTGCCAGCCCTCCAGGGAGTTTTGGACATGTTGATACAGGCATCACTGCCACACATCCAAATTCAAAAACCCAGACTGTGTCAAAGGTCTTATTATGACATATTTTACCAGACCAGTTTTTAATTTCTGGTATTACAGCTAAATGTTGTTTACCATTTCATGAGATACCCTGATCAAAGCATTTTTCAATGTGGTATTCACGTTGGTTATAAAATATCCCAATAAAATAAAGAATGTGCTGCTTTATGATACCTCACCAGTATTTATTTTGCTGTTCTGTATGGAGAAAAAAAAGGGAGAAATTACTAAAATCACCAACTTGGGATCACCAAGGGTAGGCAAGGGAGAAGATACACTGGCACTTGCAGAAAAATTTTATTTGAATTTAGTCAGAAAATTCAGGTGTTTCCAAACCCAGATAAATTACTTCTGATGTACCTCATTGGATTATTTTAATTACAGCATTAAACTATTTTATTAGAATGTATTGTCAACAAGACTTAATTGTTAAAATAAATGGAACTTCATTTTCTTAAATATTTTTTTTCTCTTAAATTTTTCAGAGATAGAGGAAATTGTTTTGGTTGTTTTCCCGTCGCTACTCCTGTAAAGAAAACCAGTTCCAATTCAATATAAAATGGTGTCTTTACTAATATATTTTTAAAAAGTAGTCTTTAAGTATTCATGTTACCTGACATATTTCTACTAAACACATGAAGAACAGAAAGACTCCGTGCTATAGGACTAGAAGAACATGTAGCATTTATTTACATAAAATATGAAAATCTTTAGTTTAAAATACCAGCTCATTTTCTTACAGTTTTTTTTAAAATTTACTTTTAAAATACAAATAAAAACACTCTACTATTTCTTTTCATTTCCTTTCCTTTTATGTACTACCATCACATGTTTTTTGGCTTTCAATTAAAGTAAGCAGGTTTTTACAGCAAAAAAAGTATGATTTCTTTGTGAACGGTTGCCTCTCAAGAGTGTTTTTGTTTTTTCCCGCCTATGTAATTTCAGATGCTGCACAACAAACACGTGATGGTTCGTGTTGGAGGAGGCTGGGAGACTTTTGCAGGTTACTTACTGAAGCACGACCCATGCCGAATGCTTCAGATCTCCCGAGTAGATGGGAAAACATCTCCAATCCAGAGCAAGTCTCCAAACATCAGGGACATGAATCCAGACAATTATCTGGTTGTTTCTGCCCATTACAAAACCAAGAAGGAAATTAAGTGAAATAAGCTTCTCATGTGAGTGGGACTTGGTGTATGTAGGTCCAAATTATTCTCTCAAGTGTAGTGAATTTAGTTAATGCTTTAAAAGGACTTTGGAAAATTTAACACAGACTGGAAATGACACCCCATTTTGAAGATCTTTGAATTTAGAACTATTTATTTCTAGTACTGTATCTTTCATAGCAACTTACCCTTGATAGGCAAATTACTACAATCGGATAATAAACAGACATATCTTTTTAGCCAAATTATTACTCTTTATTATGTGAATGTATACTTAGAGCTACATAAAGGAGTGGATCCTGTTAATGGAAGAAAATACACAATGAAATATATTTGTACCAAAATCTTACTACTTTGAACCCCTGACTGTTAGTCTAGTTGAAATATATATATGCAGGTGGAAAATGGGTATTTGGAGAAATTATTTGGTAATGTCTCTTGAAATGAAATAAAAATTGACTATTTGTATGTTTTGCAATCTTTTCTTAATTAGTAGAATATAATGGCTTATTGCATGCCAAACAACTTCTCAAAGCCATTACTTAAAAGAAAAAGCCCAAGAAACCCCTTGACAGCATTTTACTGTTTAGAGCTGAAGACAACACTGAGTGTTCGATCTGTGTGTAGATCCTTTCTGTTTTTCACCAAGCTGCCCGGTATGGAAGCATGGGGACGTGGGGAGAGTGTCCCTTGCTGTGTCACACAGCAGAGCTGCCTGGTCACACCCGGTGATGTTCTGCAGCCCACAAGGGAAGCACTCATAGTGCACAGCCCTCAACCCAGGGAGGAGCTTCAGAAAATGCAGGTCCCTCTGGAGTGAAAAAACACGGCTCTGTTCTTGGATATGAGCTTTTCCTTCCCCTTCTTTTTAATGTTGTTGGTTATTGTTAAATGTGAAATATTCATTACGCTGTAAATAGAGTGATTCACATTCTCATAAATCATTCACACACCTCTAATATAGCTAAAGGTGTATGTGGGCTTAGTTCATTATTTTGGCTACTTTTCTATGTTTATATTTGGTAATTTATGTGCCTTATAACATCCTAGAAAAATCATTTTATAGGATTGTTTCGCTGACTGTATAAATTTTAAAATGAAATAAAATTTTTAAAATACTCATACATTTTGAATTTCTTATTATTTGTAATCATTCATCTCTACTTTGCTGCTACTGACTGGATGCCTACAATGCACAACACTACTTGCTGCCCTAATAATGAGCTGCACAAAGAAAGGGGCAAACAGATATCACAGAAATACTCATATTTTCTGAAAATAAATTTTTCTTTGCAGGGAAAAAAATTCAAAAGCATCCTGGAAATATTTTTTTTAGTCCTGACTAGCATTTTTCTCTATTTTCTGATGATAGCTTTTTTTTTTTTACATGGCTTATGATCTGCTCCTGTGGTCTTTAACAGAAAAATAAATGTCTATGGTTAGAAAGGATCAAGACCATCTTTCATGTTCCATGCCTTATTAAAATCAGCACGTTGTATCTCACTTCTATGAAAAAGGCCTGCCTCACCATCTAAAAAAACCTGCTGAATACAAACAGTTCACAATTGCTGCGTGCAGCAGACCATGTAGCAGGACATAATTTCAAGACCATGTAGCAGGACATAATTTCAAAGTTACAGCATTTTAATCTTATTTTAAAACACTGTGTAGGAAGATTAAACACCTATTCAGCAATAAATCTTTTGAAAAGCCATAGGAAGTCTCAATTGTCATAGAAGTTGTCATATGTCCTCCTAAGGGAGCAGAAAGCAGACCACAAATAACATAATTTCATAAAAAATGTAGCATAGCTGAAAAAAAATCATGATTTTAATATAAGCACTGAGAGATCTGTTTTCAAATGAAAAGGGAAGGAAAAAAATCACTCATGAAAATGTAAGATGTTTATTTAGAAATAATGGCTAGGTTTTTAAACATAATTAGTTGGATTTCATAGAATCATTGAGGTTGAAAAGACTTCCAAGATCTTCAACCTTTATGTCCATCATCCAAGACTAAGGTTGTGTTGTTATTATGATGTTGATTTTTTAAATATTTGAAGTTGTTTGCATATTAATAAATCAGAGCAGACAATTATAAAAAATGTATTTGTAAGGTTATTTTAATAGTAGACTTCAACAGTCCCAGTAAATCCAAATCAAGATTTTAAACTAAGCATGAATCCCTTTATGTGCTTGGACTGTACCTGTCAAAATACCTTTTTTTTTTTGGGGGGGGGGGGGGGGGGGGTACTCAAATGTCTTTAAAAAAATCACATTAAAACACTTCCTGACTTAAAACTTCAACTTTGCCAGTTCCAGAATGGGAGACTATAGGATTTTATTTTAAGGTACTGGCAGTACCACCTGATGTAAAAAACATCGAGGTGGAACTTACTGCTTTTGACTGCATTGATGTGGGTGTGAATAACAGAGGAGGAAATGAGAGCATCAATAAAACAAACAACCACAGAAATGCAGTAAGCTGGTTAGTCTGGAAGAGGGGGTTGGAGGTAAGTGTTGCTAATCTGATAAATAGTATTTTCATAGTGTATTAGGTCCTGTAGCAATGTAGGAATTGGAAAACTTATTAGGAACCTATGGCTCAATTTATAAAGCTAAAGCTGAGCAGCAGAATCTTGCTCAAATGTGTACAGCCCTTGTTGCTTGTTGCAGTGATAGGGGCAGAACAAATTTAGGTCATTTTCCATGATGCAGTGATTTTAACTATCTTCCTGTGTAAGTTAGCTGGATGTGAATATTGAGGAGGCTGAGTCCTAAAAACTTCAAGCAATAGGAGCTACAATGAAGCCTTTTCTCAAAGACCTCATAGGCCAAATTCCATGGGAGATGCCTGTGAATAAACTGTGCTTAACCTCAAAATGGATAAATTATGTAAAATTATTTACAAAAAACCATTATTATTGTATAATGTCAGATATGACTCATCGTGGTGGAAGCCATTCAAAACTAGTTTGGAAATGTAACTGATACCTATTACTGCTCTTTATAGGAAGTGCATTCTGTCATCTCGCTATTCATACATTACCTGGAGATTTTTTTCTAAGCAGGATTATTTACATCTCTGATTGAGGATAGGGGTTTTTCACAACTTTATTACAAGGAATAATTGCTCCTTCCTTCGCAGTACCACCTTTTTTTCCAACAGCAATTTAGAGAAGATATGGAAAATCTATGGCAGCTAGTTAAAGGATTGTTGGTGGGGATGAGTGAAATGAGAAGGCAATATATGTGTGGGAAGGTACAGCAAGTTTCTTGTAACTGAAGACTCAATCCTGAACTAATTACACATGTTCACTTTAGAAGACGAGCTGTTTGCCACACCACAGAGTTACAGAAGCATTTCCTAGAGATGCTGACAAGGGCTGGGTTCTTTTTGGGCTTACACATTGTACTGCCTCATTGGCAGCAGCCTGAGAGTACCTGATAAGGGAAGGAGGCACAGTGCTGCTTCTTTGCTCTGTCTCTGACTTTCTTAGCCTGTGGTGTGTCAACTAAGGTAAGGTGGAACAGACAGGTGGGATCACACAAATGTTGATGGGGCTGGACAGGCTCTCCCAGACTCCGGAAAAACTGCTGGCACTGCTTATGCCTGATGAGCTGCATCTCAAGTACTTAGTCTTGTCACTGTGCCAAATCCACATGCTGAAGTCATCTGTGTTCCTCAGGGCCCACTGTGATGCTGCCCATCCTTGTGGAGACACAGCTTCTGTGCCTTCCCCAGTTTCAGGACATCTGCTACAAACACTTTCTCTCTAGGATAATCTTTGAATTGTAACGCTGTGGAGTGGCAAATGGTTTCACTTTGTTTCTGCAACAAAGATGGGAGAGTCAGCTTTTCAGTCCAGTTCACCAGCACTGGGCTTGGGCCTGCCAGTTTTTCAAGTACAAGACTGCGCTTTCAGAAGATGAAGGAAAAAAAAAGTTGTACTGATGTAAACAAAATATCAACCATCTAGATAATCTATGTGAAAAGGTGCATTTTAACAGCCTCTGAGGTGAAGTAAACATCCAGGAGTGAGAGAAATAAGGACAAAACTCCTGTTGTGGTTCACATAAAGCTACTGCTGCACTAAGCAATCAGAAAGACAGGGAAGACACCTGTAAGGAGAGAGCAGCTCTCATCTACACGGCTCTCAGCCTTACTGTTTAGTGCTACATGTCAGGTTGCTATCAGCTGTACACTACTGATCTGCAGTAATTTCTGCTTTCACTGTCAACTGAAACAAAAGTTAAACCAACAGTTAGTGGTTTTATTTACTCAAATAATTCCCAGTCAAACCTGGCCATTTGGATAATTGGATACGTATGGTATAGGAACATCTTTTGAAACAGCTTTGTAGGTGATTCTTAATCTGGATTAAGATTCTCTGATGCGGTTCCTTAGCCATAGAATAAATCCAACATTCAAAACTAGGTCTCTTAAGAAGCAAAGACAGCTATAGTTTTTACATAAAGGATGGAGAGAGAGAATGTGATTGCTTTCCCTAGGTTCTTTCAATGGCTTTAAATGCAAGTGTTCATGGCACTAATGCAAGCAGAGGCTTGGATGACAAGAGACATGGTTATTTGCTCCCCTGGCAGTTTCAGGGGAGCATATGACAGAGAATAAAGAAAAATGTTTAAAGTTTTAAATAACCCAAGTGACCAACTAGGTGTAAGTGCTGCTTAAGTGTCTTGTAGGACACCTACTGTGATGCTAGACTGAAATTCTCATTTCAAATTAATGTCTGAGATACCTTTTTGAGATACCATAACTTGAGATACCATAACTCAATGCATTTTCACTAGACTTTAAAAAAATTATTACAAGCAATTGCCAGCAATCAAAGGAAACTGAAGGCAGTCTTCAGCCAAAGATACATGCTTTTTTCAGCCCAAACACCATTATGCTAATATTGAAAGTTCTCCCTTCTCAGCTCAGTTCTGAAGGCTAAGCCAGGAAACTGTGTCAAGACTGCACTCTCAGGACAACACTGGGCAGTACTGAGATGTGAAAGAAAATACATAGTTCAAGGGGTGAAAAAAAAAGCCTCTATATCTTGACTAGGTCAGAAATGCAGCAATTGCAGTACTGGTCCCATGCATAATGTGCATAATGCTCTCTGGGAAAAATAAAACATTTTTGCACTGTAAGTAGTCCACCTAATTAGATAACACAGAAACTTTTGGAAATGAACCGGCAAAGTGATGACACAGTAACTGTTTTCCTGTTTGTTTTTCAAAATCCTGAGAAGGTTAGCATTGCCCTCTTGTGGTAATAAATGAATACAACTAATAAAAAGGATTTTTAATTTCATGTTTAACTTTCAGTATTCATTATAAATACTTACAGACTCAAAAGAAACTCACATGAGAAAACGAGAACAATTATTACACGCATAATAAAACTGCATTCTTGATCTAAGTACACAGACTTTATAAAGGCTTCTATTTTTTCTTTTACTAGTCACAAAATTATTCCATTTGTAAGGACCTGCCATGACTACTTTTCTTTTTTCAAAAAGGCACTAAATTCCTAAGCAGTGCAAGAGTCATTAGGAAACAGAAAAGAAATGCTGTCATCTGCATATTCAAATACATACATATATGAAAAACTTTCTACATGAGGACTTGGTTTAATTGTAGAGCTTGAAATAAGCATCAAAACCACCATGTGGGCACCTGAGCTCGCACAGGTCAGTCATGTGCAGACACAACTGACCAGATGGTATACACATATTGGCTGACTACACATAAGGAGGCCACTTCCAGCTGACAGGAAGTCTTGACAGGGAAGCAATAAAACATGCATGGAAAACAAACAAACAAAATTGGCAAAACCATAGTGTTCAGAATTAGTTCTTAAATTTCTTTGTGAATGTTTCCACATCCATTGTCCCACAATGGCAAAGTACTGCTGAGTCTTCAGAGGTAAACAGCAAAAGCCACATGATGAGTAAGTGCCACTTGGCTGCAGAAACTGACAAGTTACTGGCAGTAAACATTAATCATCTTCTCTTCAGAAGTCATGTGTTATCCAACCTGCCACTAAAGAAACAAACAAAACACACCACAGGTTTGTATGAAGATAAGGAAAAGAAAGGAAAAAATCCCAAAGCAAACAAACACTGTAAGGTTGTTAAACTACAGTAAATTCTCCGTTCACCTTTAAATTCTCAGTTAATCTTTTATTCCAGCAAGTGATGGACATACAGTATCAGTGGCAACTTATACAAACTCCTGCCTCCTGAATCATTTATGGTGATAAGGACAAAAGATGAAGGCTTACAAAACCTGAGTTCAATTATCAGATACACCTATTGTTTTGGAGAGATTGTAATTCTTCATGAACCCTCTGCCTGCCCTTCTGAGGTAAAGTCCACATTAGAATAGCAATAGTACTAATTTTTTGCCAACACTGTATGTTTCTTTCATAATGAGAGACACATAAACCCCAAACCATTGCCCTACTCAGTTCAAATGTTTTCTATAAGCTCTGAAGGAAGAGAGACCATCTCAACTGGCACTGAAAAGGGACACTAAG